ACGATCTTTGGAGGCAATCCACGCTTTAACATCGTCTATCAAGTCATCCAAATCGTTGTAGATCTTATTTGTTTGCCAATTTTTGAGCGATCGATTGACGTGGTAGTCCGTTGGGGCTTCTCCAGTTCTTTGAGATCGCGAAACGACTCTGCGGCAGACCATCCCTTTTCGAAGTGGTAGAGCATGATATGGCGAAGATGGATATGATTGTCGACACGCATTTTGTTCACTAAAGAATAACGAATATTTTAAAAAAAGAAATAGACAAAAAGCTTTCAAAACAAAAAAGATACAAGCACGCAAAAAGAAGTCCGGATAATTATGCATCAACCCAATAGTTAAAATAATCGTTTAAAAGTTGATATCAAAAAGTACACTAGGTTCCGATGTTCCGAGGTTGAAAATTTAAAGGAAAACTTTTCAACTTTAAAGGAAAACTTTAAAAATAAAGGTAAAGTCCTAGAAAAAGTTGTAAAATAAAGATTTTCTCACAAGTAAAATAAAAAAAATTGAAAAGAAATACTTACCGTAAATACTGTAAAAGTGCCCCAGCCCCGCCCCGTACAGTCACGTAGTCGCAAAAGTTTTTATTATTTCATTGTTTTTCAAAGCGCCCGTACTTCCAAAAAATACGTCTTTGGTATCAAAAAATAGCTGAAATTCAGGGCTATTTTTTGATATTTAAACGAGCATTGTAGCATAAACCAGTGTCGAGAAAAATGCGTTCAAAGCTAGACTACGCAACGCTCCGCACCGTCATTATCTTTGGTATCAAAAAATAGCCCTGAATCTCAGCTATTTTTTGAGACCTAAGCGAACATTGTAGCATAAACCAGTGTCGAGAAACGCTCGTTCAAAGCTAGACTACGCAACACTCCGCACCGTCATTATGAGGGTGGGGGTACTATTACAGTATTTACGGTATCCTTTCCACGAACTAAATGAATTCTTTTTTGAAAAGTAAAGTTGAATGGATTCTTTTCTGAAAAGTAAAGTATTATAAGTGTGACGTTTTTCAGAAAAGAGCCACCATTTTCTTTTTTTCTTTCTTTTTCATGAGGAAATGAGCGAGGAAAACGTTAATTTCCTGAAGAATAATTTCCAGGCGATCCACCCCGAGAGATGAACTTTGTCAAGTTATGAAGCTGCCAAGAATGAGTTTAATATTGAAATATTGAAAAGTTATTAGTAAAAAGATTTATTGACTACTTGAAGCTTTAAAAGCTTTGGATTTTAGGCTTTAAAAGCTTTGGATTTTAAGCTTTAAAAGCTTTGGATTTTAAGCTTTAAAAGCTTTGGATTTTAAGCTTTAAAAGCCTTAAGTTTTAGCTAGAAAAGCTTTGGGTTTTAAGCTTTAAAAGCTTTTAGTTTTAAGCTTTAAAAGCCTTAAATTTCAGCTACGAAAGCTTTCGGTTTGAAGCTTTAAAAGCCTTAAGTTTCAACTAGGTTTTAAGCTTTAAAAGCTTTTAGTTTTAAGCTTTAAAAGCCTTAACTTTTAAGCCTGAAAAGCCTTATCTTTTAAGCTTTAAAAGCCTTAAGTTTCAGCTACAAAAGCTTTCAGTTTTAAGCTACCAAAGCTTTGGGTTTTAACCTACAAAAGCCTTAAGTTCTAAGCTTTAAAAGCTTTGGGTTTTAAGCTACCAAAGCTTTAAGGAAGAACTTCATTTCCACGAGTTGGAGTAGGATAGATGATCGTTCAGCTCGGCTTTCTTTTTGGATGCTTATTCTTATTCAGGCAATCTAAAGCTACTTTAGATGCTTTAACCAAAAAAAGGATTTCAAATCAGATTTAATCTACCGTTATTCACTCTATTCTCTGGTTCTACGAATTAGAATTCTATCTGGTGAAAGAATACGGTAATCAATGCATCCCAGAATTCTATCTGTAGAAAGAATACGGGAATCAATGCATCCCAGAATTCTATCTGGTGAAAGAATACGGGAATCAATGAATCCCAGAATTCTGTCTGTAGAAAGAATACGGGAATCAATGAATCCCAGAATTCTGTCTGTAGAAAGAATACAGTAACCAATGAATCCCAAAAACTAATCAATAAAACCAAACAAAGACTTTAAACATACAAGAATTCAGCTCAATTAAAACGATTTCATTTAAATTAAGTGATATAAAGCAACGCGAGATACTGTACTGTAGCATTAAAGCACGATTTAGGAAGCAAGGTGAAAGTACTTACTACTTGTACTTGCTAAAGTACTCTAAATGAGTTAACTTGGAAATCAAATTCTTTGAGATTTTCAAATAAATCAATCAGATAAACTTTGCAAAAGTGCCTAAAATTCTTCGAATATCCCATCCATCTCAAGCGCTTTTTTCCATTCAAGAAGCTATTTTTCGGAACGAGGCTAATCTACTAATTATCTCAAGCGTTTCTCCTTTTCAGAAAAAGAATTCTGGAAATTTTGCAATTCTGGAAATGAAGTGCTTTTCAACTGCACGAAAGTATAATAGAGAAACAAAAAGAAAATATTGAAAAGGTTTTAGAAAAGACAGAATTGGTGTATCTTGTGCTGAAAAATGGTTTGGCATTGAACTAAGCAGTCGTCTAAGCAGTGGTCTGAGCATTGATCTAAGCAGTAGTCTAAGCAATGGTTTAAGCATTGATCTAAGCAGTAGTCTAAGCAGTAGTCTAAGCAGTGGTCTAAGCATTGAACTAAGCATAGAACTAAGCATAGAACTAAGCATTGAACTAAGCATTGATTTGAGCATTGATCTAAGCATTGATCTAAGCAAATATGACGTATGATTGCCCTTTGCTTTATATCTCAACTTCCAGGCCTCGGATCGACTTACGGTTAGTTTCATTAGAATCCTCATAAAATTTGGCTAGAGAAAAGTATAATTTGTTTTGGGTACTCTTTTACCTGCAAGAACACCGAGAAAACAAGCAACAAAGTTGGCCGACTTCTGCGGTTTTTTCTTAGGGAAAGCTTGCAGAAGCTGGTCATTTTTTGGCTTTCTGTAGGTCGGTACTCGCTTCACAGTTATAAAAGCCCTGCAATAAGGGAAATTGGAAACAAATGGCGCGAAGGATTAGGCTTGAAATGTTAGAAGCTTTTGTGGATATGGATCAACTTTTAAAGACGATCAACTTTTAAACTCCCCTGTGAGGATCAACTTTTAAAGACGAAACTAACAGTATAAGAAGGTTATCAGGTAGGAAGGTTTTACAAGATTTTTGATCTATCGTTGCAATTGTTTCGACTTGTAGTGAACCCTGTATATTGTTTTTACAGGAAAATTCATTTAGTATTTAGGATTTGGCTTTGGCTACTTAAAACTATTCATTTTAAACATGTCAAAGTTCCCTTTTTTATACATTTCTATTCATTCTATTCATTTTAAACATGTCAAAGTTTCTTTTTTATACATTTCTCAAGATCTCAAGGTCGTTCTTGTCTAAGATCGGCGAGGAAAAAAAAACGATAAAGAAAGTCAAAAAATTTCACTTTTTCTAATCATTTTTATCAAAAAAACAAGAAACTTGAACACTTTTTTTACTTGTTTTTGATGATTTACGGTTTTCTTTTGTTTTAATGACAAATTGCTCACGAATTGCTCAATTGTTTTAATGACAAATTGATACTTATGAGTTTTATTGTTTCTAAATGTTTTATGGCTTCTTATATGACTGTTTTATGACTTCTTATTGGCTCATGAACCCTTTGAACTGAATTTTAAGCCATCTAGTGACAAATTCTTGCAACTAAACTAGTCAAATTCTTAAGAAATCGGTTAGCTAGATAAAGAAACAAAAAGAAGAAGGACGCAAAGAAGAAGGACCGATGGCCTTATGACCCTTATGGCCCTATGACCCTTATGGCCCTATGACCCTTATGGCCCTATGACCCTTATGGCCCTATGACCCTTATGGCCCTATGACCCTTATGGCCCTATGACCCTTATGGCCCTATGACCCTTATGGCTCTATGACCCTTATGGCCTTTATGGCGTCGATCCTGGTCTTCAAGATCATCATTCCCTTTGTAAAATCGTTGGAACCAAGCTGGACAATGTCTTTCGGAGATTGTATGGCCAAATGGTCATGGCCAAATGGTCATGGCCAAATGGTCATGGCCAAATGGTCATGGCCAAATGGTCATGGCCAAATGGTCAGGCCAAATCGTTAGGCCAAATGGTCATGGCCAAATGGTCATGGCCAAATGGTCATGGCCAAATGGTCATGGCCAAATGGTCATGGCCAAATGGTCATGGCCAAATGGTCAGGCCAAATCGTTAGGCCAAATGGTCATGGCCAAATGGTCATGGCCAAATGGTCAGGCCAAATCGTTAGGCCAAATGGTCATGGCCAAATGGTCATGGCCAAATGGTCAGGCCAAATCGTTAGGCCAAATGGTCATGGCCAAATGGTCATGGCCAAATGGTCATGGCCAAATGGTCATGGCCAAATGGTCAGGCCAAATCGTTAGGCCAAATGGTCATGGCCAAATGGTCATGGCCAAATGGTCATGGCCAAATGGTCATGGCCAAATGGTTATGGCCAAATGGTCAGGCCAAATCGTTAGGCCAAATGGTCATGGCCAAATCGTCATGGTCAAATCGTCATGGTCAAATCGTCATGGCCAAATGCACTTGCAATGACTTTATGGCAATCGGCTGACTTTTTTCTAATTCGATACTTCAAAGAAAACCCAGACGCTTCTTTACTTTAAAAAGTTCATCTTTTTCCGATGGCCATCTAGTGAAAATTTTCAAAAAAATTACGTACTTCCTTAAGCATTTTAAGCTAAAAATAAGCTAATATCATTCAATTTTTATTTCTTTTTTGTTTTTAGGATAATTTTTGATATTTAGCAACTGTTCAGTGCTTCTCGATCAAAGCCAAATTCGAATCTGTAAATCATTTTTTAATCGCTTTAATTTTACTTGTTTATTCACGCCATTTTTCTGGAGAATTCATTTTTAGAGCTAGAAAATGGGTTGGTTTAAAGAATGAGCTTTTAGATCACCAATCAACAAGATGAGCCAAACGATTCAAGTCTTTAATCAGCAGCCCGGAATGCCTCCACAACCGCCGGCAGCTCGTTGGTTTATGAGATTTATGGATGAAAAGCTATTCAAACTTTGTGCTATTGAAAACGCATCCTTTCTGGCGTACTCACTGTTTTCCTTTCATTGCACTTGTTTCAATGAAAGGCTAGAAGTCTAGAAGTCTAGTCTAGAAGTTTAGAAGTCTAGTCTAGAAGTCTAGAAGCCTAGTCTAGAAGTCTAGAAGTCTAGAAGTCTAGAACTCTAGAAGCCTAGTCTAGAAGTCTAGGAGTCTAGAAGTCTAGAAGTCTAGTCTAGAAGTCTAGAAGTCTAGTCTAGAAGTCTAGAAGTCTAGTCTAGAAGTCTAGAAGTCTAGTCTAGAAGTCTAGAAGCCTAGTCTAGAAGTCTAGAAGTCTAGAAGTCTAGAACTCTAGAAGCCTAGTCTAGAAGTCTAGGAGTCTAGAAGTCTAGAAGTCTAGTCTAGAAGTCTAGAAGTCTAGTCTAGAAGTCTAGAAGTCTAGTCTAGAAGTCTAGAAGTCTAGTCTAGAAGTCTAGAAGCCTAGTCTAGAAGTCTAGAAGTCTAGAAGTCTAGAACTCTAGAAGCCTAGTCTAGAAGTCTAGGAGTCTAGAAGTCTAGAAGTCTAGAAGTCTAGAAGTCTAGAAGTCTAGTCTAGAAGTCTAGAAGTCTAGTCTAGAAGTCTAGAAGTCTAGTCTAGAAGTCTAGAAGTCTAGTCTAGAAGTCTAGAAGTCTAGAACTCTAGAAGCCTAGTCTAGAAGTCTAGGAGTCTAGAAGTCTAGAAGTCTAGTCTAGAAGTCTAGAAGTCTAGTCTAGAAGTCTAGAAGCCTAGTCTAGAAGTCTAGAAGTCTAGAGCTCTAGTCTAGAAGTTTAGAAGTCTAGTCTAGAAGTCTAGAAGTCTAGAAGTCTAGAAGTCTAGAGCTCTAGTCTAGAAGTTCATTGCGTATCAACGCGTGCCGTTTGGCGCACCAATGAGGATTGAATTGCGCCAGAAGAAAGGCGTTTCCAAAAAGTACTGTACTGGAAAACTTTTGAATGCATTTATTGGTACTTTTGTGTTATCTGGGAGGCGGAAATCTCTGAAAAGAATTAACTGGGGAAATGTCAATGAGAAAATAGACAGAAAATGGTTACAGAAAACGTGCTTCCTAAAATTAGAATTCACATTAGTTCAATAAAGGGCAACAAATTAAATTCAATATATAAGAGACTGAGAAGAAAACAATTTGTCCCACTTCACTTCAAAATGAAAATCTCGGAAATGAGATTTATCAACAATGGATCAAAAATGGATTGATTGCCGAACTGTCCGAGAGAGGTGGTCGAATGTCGCTCCAGTCTTGAGGATCGGATCAATACCGAAGAGCGGATCAATCTCGTTGGGGATGCAATCAACGTGTCTACATGGGACTTCTAGACTCGATTGGTTCCATTCGAGTGAACAAGTGGTTCAAGGATTCAACGCTCAAGTTCGTCATCTCTTCATTTCATTCATCTATCGGCAAAGGAAAATTCGACAATCAAATTTTGTGAAGAAGAATTGGAGATGCATTCACAATCCATTGATTGCAACTTTCACTTGCGTCAAGTGTGTGCCTGAAGCTCTGTGAATCGAAGTCATGAGTCCTGGAGCTCTGTGAGTCGATATGAGTTTTGGAGCTCGGTACACCGAGCTCATGAGTCCTGGAGCTCTGTGAGTCGAAATCATGAGTCTTGGAGCTCTGTAAATCGAAGTCATGAGTCCTGGAGCTCTGTGAGTCGATATGAGTCTTGGAGCTCGGTACACCGAGCTCATGAGTCCTGGAGCTCTGTGAGTCGAAGTCATGAGTCTTGGAGCTCTGTGAATCGAAGTCATGAGTCCTGGAGCTCTGTGAGTCGATATGAGTCTTGGAGCTCTGTAAATCGAAGTCATGAGTCCTGGAGCTCTGTGAGTCGAAGTCATGAGTCTTGGAGCTCTGTGAATCGAAGTCATGAGTCTTGGAGCTCTGTGAATCGATATGAGTCTTGGAGCTCTGTGAATCGAAGTCATGAGTCCTGGAGCTCTGTGAGTCGAAGTCATGAGTCTTGGAGCTCTGTGAATCGAAGTCATGAGTCCTGGAGCTCTGTGAGTCGAAGTCATGAGTCTTGGAGCTCTGTGAATCGATATGAGTCTTGGAGCTCTGTGAATCGAAGTCATGAATCCTGGAGCTCTGTGATCGAAGTCATGAGTCTTGGAGCTCTGTGAATCGAAGTCATGAGTCCTGGGCTCTGTGAGTCGAAGTCATGAGTCTTGGAGCTCTGTGAATCGAAGTCATGAGTCCTGGAGCTCTGTGAGTCGAAGTCATGAGTCTTGGAGCTCTGTGAATCGAGTCATGAGTCCTGGGCTCTGTGGTCGAAGTCATGAGTCCTGGAGCTCTGTGAGTCGAAGTCATGAGTCTTGGAGCTCTGTGAATCGAAGTCATGAGTCTTGGAGCTCTGTGAATCGAAGTCATGAGTCCTGGAGCTCTGTGAGTCGAAGTCATGAGTCTTGGAGCTCTGTGAATCGAAGTCATGAGTCCTGGAGCTCTGTGAGTCGAAGTCATGAGTCTTGGAGCTCTGTGAATCGAAGTCATGAGTCCTGGAGCTCTGTGAGTCGAAGTCATGAGTCTTGGAGCTCTGTGAATCGAAGTCATGAGTCTTGGAGCTCTGTGAATCGATTGAGTCTTGGGCTCTGTGATCGAGTCATGAGTCCTGGAGCTCTGTGAGTCGAAGTCATGAGTCCTGGAGCTCTGTGAGTCGAAGTCATGAGTCTTGGAGCTCTGTGAATCGAAGTCATGAGTCTTGGAGCTCTGTGAATCGAAGTCATGAGTCTTGGAGCTCTGTGAATCGAACTCATGCAATTGGAGGCCCGGGTGTACTGTTGAGATCAACAAATCACAAAGCGGAAAGCGGAAATATCATGTTGGGCGAATGTAAAGTGGTATTTTGGCGGAGTGTGCAAATCAAATGAAAAGTTTTGTGTGCTCGTTCTCGATCAACTGCTACTTTGATTCCAACTATCGAGAAGTACATTGCTTGAAAAGATTCCCGCCAGCTGATTTTTTTTGTCTTAGATTCCCCTTTCCCCATCCGTATAACACAAAAGTACCGATTTCTTAAGAAAGAAAATAATTTCATTGTTTAAAGCATTCCCATTTCAGCCGTTGAATGGATGCAAACCCCGCCAGCAATGCCGAATTGCCCGCGCGGACTCGAGTATCTCACGCAAGTCGACAAAATTGTGATACAACAAGTGAGTTTAAACAAAAAACTTGACTCTATCTTTTGACTCTATCTTTTTAAGCCTAAGAAAGATGATTTTCATATTTGAATTCAGAAAAAGAGCATTCTTGAAGCGGTGACTAATTGGGATGTAAAGAATAGCTATGTATTGATGAATTCGATTGGAGAACAGGTGAATTAGAAGTGAAATTGATAAGCGAAACTGTTCGGAAACTAAAATCAGCTTATATTCTTAAACTTATATTCTTTTCTTTGAAATTTTTAGGTATACTATGCGCTAGAAGAGTCGGATTGTTGCACTCGGCAGTGCTGTGCTCAGGATCGAGACTTCACCATGCACATCACGGATCATTTTCAGAATGTCAGCATTTCGAAATATAGATTAGATTTTGAAATTTGAACCAAATAGATTTAGAAAAAATTTGAAAACGAATAACACTTTGAAAAGCTGAAACTTTTTAGCTTTTTAGCTTTAGCTTTTTAGCTTAAAGCTTAAGCAGAAGAGTTTAAGGTGTTCTGCTTTTGAAGCCGGCTTCTAAAGATCCTTTAGAAAATCCTAAGGATCCTTTAGAAGATCCTAAGGATCCTTTAGAAGATCCTAAGGATCCTTTAGAAGATCCTAAAGATCCTGAGCCTGAGCCTAGGCTAAGCCAAGCTTGCCAAGCTTACCAACGTCCCTTTAAAGCCAACCACCTAACCAAATCAAACCAAAACTAGACCAGAAATCAGGCTTGAACTGGCTTGAACTAAGTCTACTAGAAGTGAAGCGTCAACCAGATTTCTGGTCCAGAGGAATCAACTAGTACAATCAACTAGTAAAATCAACTAGTAAAATCAACTAGTAAACTTCAAGGATTGATTTGTATATCTCGAATCGGGAAACTTTTAATAGATAAATACAGCCAAGATAGGCTTTATTTAAAGATAATAAATACCTATACCTATAGATAGTACATATAGTATACTTATTTATAGATTGTATTCTCTCTAATAGTAGTGCACTATGAGCGTTGCCTCTTGCTTGAATTTCCTTTCCTTCCTCTTCCTCGAAATCTCAAAAACCGGCTTATCAGAACCTATCGATGTGGGGTCGGAAAATGTAGCTGACGATGAGATCTTGTGGGGGATTTGAGTTTTGAGCTCCTGCGAAAACTTGGAAACCGTAAAATAGTCATCAACTCGGCTCGGCTGGGTGCACTACTATTAGAGAGAATACGGTGTACCGTAAATGCTGTATTAGAATGAAATGAAAAGGAAATCACAGTAAACGAAGTTGATTGAAGATTTATAAAATGAAATCTAAACATAATAGCCTATCTTTCAATTCCTGTACAAGTTAATACACTGGTTTATTTACTTATTGTTTTAAAAAAGCGCTCTTTTCCGTTATCCGGGCTTTTGACGTGCATTGAAAGGGGTCATAGATACTACCGTATTTGGTTAGGTGGTTGGCTTTAAAGCGACGTTAGCAAGCTTGGCTTAGCTCATTCATAATCAGCATTCATAATCAGCTGATATTCATCATCAGCTGATATTCATCATCGGGGTTACCGCCAATTTTGAATCAAACGTTGTAGCGCCCGCAATTTTTAACCTAAACTCACAAATTTGATACCAATTGACGCAGAATATAGACTTTAATAATAGGCTTCAATATTTTAGATAGGGTTGAATTAGGGTTTAAATTTGACGCTTGGGAGCTATTTAAAAAGGAATCGGTGTGAATAGTGAAAACCATGCTGCTATTTAATGTTTGCTATGCTTGCTATGCTTGCTATGCTTGCTATGCTTGCTATGCTTGCTATGCTTGCTATGCTTGCTATGCTTGTTATGCTTGTTATGCTTGCTATGCTTGTCTGCTATGCTTGCTATGCTTGTTATGCTTGCTATGCTTGTTATGCTTGTATGCTTGTTATGCTTGCTATGCTTGGTGTTGCGCAGTTTTTGCTTATGTGTTTGCTTGCTAGCTTGTTATGCTTGCTATGCTTGTTATGCTTGCTATGCTTGTTATGCTTGCTATGCTTGTTATGCTTGCTATGCTTGTTATGCTTGCTATGCTTGTTATGCTTGCTATGCTTGTTATGCTTGCTATGCTTGCTATGCTACTACTTAACATTACAATAAAACTAAAAAGTCTACTTTCATTTTATAGCAAAAACTTTTAGGAAGTGCTCACAATAAAGCGTCCTTTCAAATGTTGTATCTATTCGTGTTTCGCTGGATTGAAAATTTGCGGTCATGAGGCATGGATTGAGCTTTCAACAAGGGAAAAGGTATTGCTGGATTGAGCTGGATTGAGCTTTCAACAAGGGAAAAGGCATTGATAAAAAGGTAAAGATAAAAAGATAAAGATAAAAAGATAAAAAGAAGAAAAATTTGCATTTAAACATGATAAAGTTGGTTAGAATTTGGGTAGTTGGTTAGAATAGAATTAAAATTGTAAGAATTTCCGAAAACATTTCTTTTTTGAGCTTGGATGTGTGAGGCAACGTTTCGGGATTTGCTCGAACAACTTTTCAATTCTAAATTCCGAGGAAAGCATCGAGATTTTCAAGTAAATCGTTATCGTTATCGGTAAAGATTCAGGTAAAGATCGTTATCGGTAAAGATTTATCGGTAAAAGATTTAAAGAAAGAGAGTAAAGATTATCAGGGGAAATTAGAGAATCGAAAACTATCAAAACTCGAGTAGAGAAGACTCCAGTAACTCTAGAATCTCCGGTCCAAATATGTGCTCATGGACGCACAAATGTGATTGCTTTGCGGAAAAAATTTTTGAGGTATCTAGTTTTGTTTTGTGGTAGAGTACTTTGTACTCTTACTTTATCAAGTACTTTTACTTTATCGAGTACTTTTACTTTATCAAGTACTTTACTTTATCAAGTACTTTATCAAGTACTTTTACTTTATCAAGTACTTTCTACACTTAAAGAACGGAACAAAGAACACATAGAAACCCTTTTTTTGACGTATTTGAATCTAAAGAATTCAAAATAAGAAGAAATAAATAGGCTAGCAGGGTTTTGTTTCGATTTTTGTCTTGCTTTTAGATCAGAAATGTCGATGGTCAGCCATGTGGAGCGATTCGAAAGAAATGGGGTGGATTGGTGAAAGAAACGCTCACCCAGGCGGACACATTTTCTGTTGAATGTAAATTTTAAAAGAGATTAGAGGCAATTCATGGTAAAAATCAAATTATCAGCAGTTATTCGAGTTAAAGAAACGCTCACCCAGGCGGACAAATTTTCTTTTGAATGCAAGTTTGAAATGGCTAAATACGACTAAATACAGATCTATTTAGAAGATATTTTAGAAGAAATCGATTCTAAACAGAATCGATCTGTGCTTAGAATCGATTTGTAAACACATATCGATTCTAAACACATATCGATCCTAAATATCTATTCAATTTTTGTCTAAATGAAGATCCTGTCGAGAAAAATGCGTTTAAAGTTTTGACGATTGTGGCAATTTTGATCATTTTGATCATTTCGATCAGTCGAAAAATCGTCCCTAGCCAATAAGACCGCTCCCCACGCAGGCAAACAAACAGCGGCGGTGGTCAAGTGGATAGTATGCCGGACTATAGAGCTGGTGGGTTCGATTTTTGCTGTGGGTTCGAGTCCCGCCGCTGACAAGTTGGGTAGAGAAGTTAGAAAAAGGGGAATATAGAAAAATGGAAAAATATAAAGGCTTGGTTGTCTTTTGACCTGCATTCTTCGCTTCTATAAGATCCTGTTAGCTTCCAAGACAGCTTTAAAGTTTTAACAATTTCGACAATTTTGACAATTTTGACCATTTCGATCAGTCGAAAAATCGCCCCTAGTCAATAAGACCGCTCCCCAGGCAAGGAAACAAAGAGCAGCGGTGGTCTAGATACTGTGCCGGACTATCGAACCGATGGGTTCGCTTTTTGCTGTGGGTTCGAGTCCCGCCACTGACAAGTTGGTTAGAGGAGAAGTTAGAAAAAGGGGAATATAGAAAAATGGAAAAATATAAAGGCTTGGTTGTCTTTTGATTTGCATTCTTTGCTTCTATGAGATCCTATTAGCTTCTATAAGATCATGTTAGCTTTCAAAATCCAAGTGATCACATGAAAACAATCAAAGAGCAAGGATTATCGAGCCTCGTTCTAGAGGCTGAGCTTAGTTTAAGTCTAGAGGTCAGGAGCCTGGCTGGAGTTTGACCTAGATCAGTTTAAGCATTATTAAAAGTTGTTTTGCAGTAAAGCTTGGCTAAACAAGGTCAGAAGCCAGTCCTGGGATTTGCTTAAAATACCTTTGATCGTGCTGAATCAGGTCTGGCTTTTGTCGGCATTCAAAGTACCTTCAGAACCAAGCTCGGCTTTTGTCTGGCATTCAAAGTACCTTCAGAACCAAGCTCGCTTTTGTCTGGCATTCAAAGTACCTTCAGAACCAAGCTCGGCTTTTGTCTGGCATTCAAAGTACCTTCAGAACCAAGCTCGGCTTTTGTCTGGCATTCAAAGTACCTTCAGAACCAAGCTCGGCTTTTCGCCCAACCTCGACCTTGACCCTGACTAACTAAACCCGGAAAATTGCTTTTAAAACACTTTTGAATATTACGATATCATTGAAGCGATGGAATTTGAGTCCTTTAACTTTATTCAACACTTTAAAACCTTTCTTTAGTCCCAATTGATCTCGACGTGAAGTGTAAAGCGGCGCTTCTCGGAGCCACCTTTTTGATTGTGAGTTTTTACTTAAAACAAGTTCAAAGATCTTTAAAAAACAAAAAGTCAAGGAAATTTTAAATCTATATCCCACAGCCGCTAGTGATTCAATCCCCAACGGCTAGCCGGAACATTTTTAAAATTTAAAACAGTGCCACTCATTCCATCTTTTAGACAAAAACTATTACTTTCTCTTGGTGTTTTAATCAGTAACAATTTTTCAATCGTCTTTTTCTTTTCTATTTATCTAATGTATCAACTTTTGAATATCAACTTTTTAATATTAACTTTTCAATGTCAACTTTTCCATATCAGCTTTTCAATATCAACTTTTCTAGTTATTACCTCCCGAAATGTTAAAATATTTCGTCCTATTAATCTCATTTTTTATTTACATGTGAGATAAATTTGCATTGTATTCCAAATGTTTCGTTAAAAAAACTTTCAATCACTATCGGTTAGCCGACTGTTTCAATTACTAGCAGCTAGCCGATAGTTTCAGTTACTAGCGGCTAGCCGATAGTTTCAATTACTAGTGGCTAGCCAATGGTGATTCAATCACTAGCAGCTAGCCGATGGTTTCAATTACTAGTGGCTAGCTGATAATGATTCAATCACTAGCAGCTAGCCGATGGTTTCAATCACTAGCAGTTAGCCGATAGTTTCAATCACTAGCAGCTAGCCGATAGTTTCAGTTACTAGCAGCTAGCCGATGGTTTCAATTACTAGTGTCTAGCTGCTAATGATTGAAACCATCGGCTAGCCGCTAGTGATTGAAACCATCAGCAGCTAGCCGATAGTTTCAGTTACTAGCAGCTAGCCGATAGTTTCAATCACTAGCAGCTAGCCGATAGTTTCAATTACTAGTGGCTAGCCAATGGTGATTCAATCACTAGCAGCTAGCCGATGGTTTCAATTACTAGTGTCTAGCTGCTAATGATTGAAACCATCGGCTAGCCGCTAGTGATTGAAACCATCAGCAGCTAGCCGATAGTTTCAGTTACTAGCAGCTAGCCGATAGTTTCAATCACTAGCAGCTAGCCGATAGTTTCAATTACTAGTGGCTAGCCAATGGTGATTCAATCACTAGCAGCCAGCCGATGGTTTCAATTACTAGTGGTTAGCTGCTAATGATTCAATCACTAGCAGCTAGCCGATGGTTTCAATGACTAGCGGCTGAAAAACACGACACTGCCACATATACTTTCCAGGATTTTCTCCAATTCGAAGAAAAAAGTGGGAACGCGCAGAACTCGAGCTCGATTGTTTGCTGCGATGGAATGGATTTTTGTTTGAGTAGTGACTGTTGTTGTGATTGATTTTCATTGATAAAATCAATTAAATTTACTTTAATTTACATTTTCAATAGAAACTTTTAAGTTTAATTCATTTTTTAATCAAAAATCAAAAATCAAATCAAATCAAATCATTTTTTAATTAAGAGCGAGTACAAAGAACGGCTCATTAAGTCTGAAGTGAATGGAAATTGGGTAAATTTGCGTAAAAAAATGGAAACACATGCCTTCTGGTGTATTAAAATTGAATGAAATTTTGGCATTCGATTCAAGAAATTCGATTTGATTCGATTTTCAAGAAAATCATTAGTTTTTCTTGGATTTACGATGATTTCCCGGTTTCAAGGTCAATTTTTGGCATCAATTTCTGGTGAAATTGATGGATCACATGAAAAGGGAAAAGTGTGTGGAACGTGAATTTCTTAAAAAGAAAATCCTTTTGATCTGATCTTTTTAAACATATGGGTATATCTTTTAGTTTAAAAATATTGTCTCGAACTGTTGCCTGGTCTGTTTTTATCAAAAAAACAATCAGCAATCATATTATTTTAATCATCTAATCATCTTTTAATCATCTACTAGGTTGTTGTAATGAAAGTTACTTGGTTCTGTCTTTGATCTGAACTAACCCAGCTAACAGCTAACAAGCAGCTACCAAACAAACTTTGAACACATGCTGATCATTTTCTAGAACTATTAGGTTGATGCAAAAGTCTTTTTCATTTTTTCGTACTTCCGTTAAAAAAGTAACAAATGCACCAATTGAACAACGGTTTATTGCATTCGAAAGGCGAATTATTTTTCTGCAAAATGACATTAAAACGAGTTTAAAATGTCTTATGTCTAGATTTTTTTGAGAGCCTGAAGTCGGGTAGTCAAAAAAGGCGACGGCTCGATGATGCATTTTAGACGCTTTAGCTAAGGAAACCAATCTTGATGTTAATAAATAAAAGATAGAGCACAAAAAGTTAGATATTTTTTCAGATTTTCAGAGAAATTGATTCAGCCAATTTCTTTATAGAGGTTTTTATCGATTTTTATGAAAAACCCGTTTTCACTCTCGAATTTGCTTGAAAGTGAACCCAAATTGACTTAAAAAGATGGGAAATTGAACAATAAACACTTTTCATTTAGAGCAAACCATAGGTTAATTGATGACTTTGTTATTTTTCAAAAGAAGTACGAAAAAAATGAAAAAGACTTTTGCATCAACCTAATAGTTTTGTTAATCTATGCTTGTTTTTCTAAAGATAATTTAATTCTAAAGAAAATTCTAAGCGATTCTAAAGAGATTCTAAAGAACTTCCAAAGAATTTGTTGACTTGAATCGTAGTTTGAAATGGATTTACTGTCAATGTCTTTAAGAGATCATAAGTAAGGCCTAGGTGAAATGGCATAAGTGAAATGGTTTCCTCACGAGTTAAGCAGTGCAAACGCTCGTTTATATCCGAACAACCTACCGTAAATACTGTAATAGTACCCCACCGCCCTCGTACAGTCGCGTAGTCGCAAAAGTTTTTTCGTATTTCATCTTTTTCAAAGTTCAACAATGTCATTTCTCAGCCAATTTTCAGCTTTATTTCATTTCTAATCGATTTCCAGTATCATTTTGCACTTTATCAACTCTTTTTCCGTACGCGGATTTGAATTTTGAGTTTGCTGAACGTTTTTGTTTTTTGTTTTTAGTCAGCAAGCAAAGCAAGCTCAAAGAACATCAGCTACAGATTGTTGGACTTAAAGCAGTTTCTTCTTTGCTCTCTAAAACGTAAAAAAGGTTTGCCTTAAAAAGAAACTTATTGTTATTCGAGTTTTGTTTTTTGCTTTTTACCTTTTTCTCAGGGTAAGCCAGGCTTTTTACCTTTTTTTGGCTTGTTTTATTCTTTCATAGTTCACCTATTACTCATTGTTATGAGTTTTTACAACTTTTTTTGAATCAATTTGGGCTAATCGTTGAGTGAGTGAGTGAGTCGAAAAAGAAAAAGTCAAAGACAATAAAAAAGAGTAAAAAAAGGAGCAAAAGTGAGTAAATTTCGGGCGTTTAGAAGTAGTTAGTGGGTTGAGTGGAGAAGAGAATCGAAAAAGAGAGAAATATAGAGGAATGGAAGAGAATTGGGTGATCGAATGGAAGTTTCGAGCGTTTAGAAGTAGTTAGTGGGTTGAGTGGAGAAGAGAATCGAAAAAGAGAGAAATATAGAGGAATGGAAGAGAATTGGATGATCGAATGGAAGAGAATGAAAGAAAATGGAATAGAATGAAGGAGAATTGGAAGCGAATTGGGTGAAAGTGCTCCAAGAGAAAATAGAGAAAGAGATTGAATTCGGGAAAAAGATTAAAGCACAACTTTTCTTGTTTACCGGGGTATCGGTGTAGTAAATTACGAGTTTTCGGAGAGTTTTGAATTTTATGGCTTGGAGCTGGAAAAAAAATTGTAGAGGCACTCGGACTCGAACCCCCGCGACCGGGCACCGAGCCTCCCTTACCGGCTGAACGCTTTACCACTGCGCTACACCAACACCTGCCAACCTCCTGCTAGGAAGGGTCTTATACTCTCTCAGCACAGATTTCCTCAAAACAGTCTCTTTTTTTACAAGAATCTTCTAAAGCCGATTTTTTATCGTAAACTAGACTTGTCTAGATGCTGATGCTGATGTCTAAATGCTGATAGGGAAAGTGACTTTATTCCAAGGATTCATGCCAATTTTTAGCAATTTAGACTTGATTCCTGATCACCTGGCCTGATTTGACCTTTCCTAAGCTGAGCTGAGCTGAGCTAGACTCAGTTCTAGACTCAGACTCCTTTCCTAAGCTAGCTGAACTACTTAGACTTAGAATTAGACTACTTTCCAGTTATGGTAGCTTTATTTGGCTCAAAATGGCTCAAAATATTCAACTAATCTTTCCCCAGCAATCAACATTCACTATCCAACTCTTGAACTAGATCTGGATCAAGTTTATTTTCGTTTTTCAATAGATTTAACTAGAAAATATTGTCTAAAAACTAAAAAAGATCCCAAAAAAACCAATAAAGATATTCAGTTAAAAGAAAACGAAAATCGAAAAAGATCATTGAGTTAGAGAAGCAAAAAAAAAGAAAACGCAAAATACTTCCTTTTGCCCATGATTTGAAGGCCATTTCCTTTTTTGGGAGCAAATTTTTAAAACTTTTTCTTATTTTTCTGTTTTCGATGAATTTGATGCCTTTTATTGAGGATTTTCTCTAGAAAATTTCCTATCCAATCACTTTTTTTTTTCTTTAAACAAATCGTGGATTTTCTTGATATCAAATCGCAAAAAATTTCACAAAATCGTTCTTAATGAATTGATTTGAATGTTTTGCAGAAAAATCTCCTTTTAATTCACCTGAAAATAACTCTAACGCCATTTTTTGGCTATTATTTCGTTCTTCAGAGATTTTGATTGTTCGTTTCGTTTCGGATTTCGTTGTTAAAGAATTTCCCATAATAATTAGTGAAGTGCTAGAAGAAAACCAGTAAACACCGTCTTTCTATATTGCTAATAAAAGTGAAATTCTTGATTTGTTTAAATTTACATGCAGCTCAAGCCAAGTTTGCAGCTCAGCTTGCTTGCAGATCAAGCCAAGCTTGAAGCTCAGCTTGCTTGCAGCTTTCAGCTTAAAGCCTTCAGCCTAAAGCCTTCAGCCTTCAGCCTAAACCTAAGCCTAAACCTAAGCCTAAGCCTAAGCCTAAACCCAAGTCTAAACCTAAGCCTAAACCTAAGCCTAAGCCTGAGCCTAAGCTTGAGCTTGCCTGCAGATCAAGCCCAGCTTGAAGCTCAGCTTGAAGCTCAGCTTGAAGCTCAGCTTGAAGCTCAGCTTGCTTGCAGTCTTCAGCCTAAGCCTAAGCCTAAACCTAAGCCTAAGCCTAAACCTAAATCTAAGCCTAAACCTAAGCCTAAGCCAAGCTTGCAGCTCAAGCCAAGCCTACAGCTTAAGCCAAGCCTACAGCTTAAGCCAAACCTACAGCTTAAGCCAAACCTAAGCCTAAGCCAAGCTTGCAGCTCAAGCCAAGCCTACAGCTCAAGCCAAACCTACAGCTTAAGCCAAGCCTACAGCTCAAGCCTAAGCCTACAGCTTAAACCAAGCCTACAGCTCAAGCCAAACTTACAGCTCAAGCCAAGCTTACAGCTCAGCCTGCTTGTAGCTCAGCCTGCTTGCTGATTGATGACAGAAAGTCGTAGATAATGATCGCTTATACTTTAAGGAATGATTATTGTTATTTTTGTTATTAAAGTGCGCATAAAAATTGAATTTTTCGCAGCTCAGTGAGGACTTTTTCCTCAACTCAGCATTTTTCGCAGCAGCACTTAGAAAAGAAAGAGTCAGAATCAAAGACTCAAATTACTCAAGTCTTTACTCAAATTAAATCGTATTTTAACATTTTTGACTTAAAACTTGCAAATTTCTTGTAAAAAGCTTTTAGAAATTGAAGAAATTGAAGATAAAATGTGGATTTTGATGGAAATTCTGTTTTTCTTTTCGTTTTTTCTTGATTTTCTCATTTCTTTGATTTAAAAACGTGATTTTCCACGAAATTTCCGGTAAAATAAAGCTCTCTTTTTTTGAATTCCCTTGATAATTCGATTTCTTTTCGATAAAAAGAAGAATTTTGAAAAAGTAACCAAATCAAATTGCTAATTTTTTTTATAGATCAATAGAATCTTTAAAAGATGAGTCATCCAATGCAAGTCTTCAATCAACAACCGGGAATGCCTCCACCACCACCCGGAGCTGGTTAGTGAAGTTGAAGCTCGTTAGTGAAGTGAAGCTCGTTAGTGAAGACTTAGATCTATTGCACTTTAACACATTGACGGGCTTTTTTTGAGTGTACAGTAGCGTAGTCGTACAGGAGCGTACAGTGTCGTACAGTAGTCGTACAGTAGTCGTACAGTAGCGTAGTCGTTAAATTTATGTAAATTCAAGAAAAAAACTAAGCATGTAAGAAGTTTAGCCGATTTTCAGCCGTTCAATGGATGCAACCACCGCCAGCGATGCCGAATTGCCCAATTGGACTTGAATATCTTACACAAATCGATAAAATCATGATTCATCAGGTATTTCGAGATTCTATTAGGTTGTCGGATAGGTTGTTCGGATATAAACAAGCGTTTTAGTAGTCGACAAAATTTCTCTTAAAAACAGAAACAACACAGTCCAAAGTATATTCACCATTATTATTGATGCTTTGCTGATTGCTTCTTGCCATCTTTTGCGCAAAGAATTGATGCCGCTCTTGAAAAACTCTTGCCGGCTGTGACTCGAAAAACTTGGCGACCCAATTTTGGACATCTTCGCGGTTTTTGAATTTCTCATTGGCCAAAAAGTTTTGAATCGACCGGAATCAATGGTAATCTGAGGGAGCCATGGGAGCATTGGGAGCCATGGGAGCCATGGGAGCCATGGGAGCCATGGGAGCATTGGGAGCATACGGCGGATGTGGTAAAACCTCCCATCCTAGATTCTCCAGTTTTTGCTGAGTCATCTTTGCAACGTGAGGTCTAGCGTTGTAATGGATGAACTTTAGCTTTGATGTGTATACTCCTTGACGAATGAGAACTTCATTGACCCGATCAAGTTGCTGTTTGTAGAGGTCGGATGTGACTGTTTGGCCGGTTTGTAGAAGCTCGGGATTCACAAGGACCTTGTTATTCCACCATACTGAGAGCATGATCTTTTTCCCATGAATGTCCGGTTTCACGGTCGGATTTGGCCGTTCTCCTGGTCCTAGTCATTTCCGTTTTCGAATAGTATTATCGAAATGGATCCACTTCTCATCTCCAATAGCGAGAGAATCAAAAAAAGCCATGATATTTAGCGTGGCGGATGAGGATTCCGACAATAGCGACCCGTGAAGCCTTTTTTGCACTGCTTAACTCGTGAGGAAGCTATTTCCCGCATCTGATTTCGTCTTTCCAATGGCGTGATGATGCTCAACAATGGTAGAATTTGAACATAGAAACTGTTGAGCAAGTTCACGCGTCATCTGACATGGATTTGATTCGATTGCAGCCCTCAAAATATCGTTGTCTACGGCTTGAGGTCGACGAGAGTGTTCATGATCGTTCATGATCCTCCGATCCATGACCGAGACTTTCATCACCATTCCGAAAGCGTTAGAACCAGGCTCGGCCTCGGCTTTCGGACAATAGATCATTCCCAAAGGCTTTGACCAAATCTCAATGAGATTCCTGGGCAGTGAATCATTTCGGACAAACTGGATTTACCCTTCAGCAGGACTGAGCGCCGGCCCATGGAGCCTGCTCGACTCTCGCTCTCTGCAATCAATTACAATACATCATTGTACATCATTCCCAAATGCTTTGACCAAATCTCTATGGGATTCCGCTGTTTTGCCCAGTTTGAAGTAAAAATAGGCAGATTTGAAAGTAAAGTAGGCAGCCTTGAAATTTGAAGTCGTTGGAACCAGGCTCGGCAATCTAAAGCAAGAAAAAGAGATCTTAAAAATAAGAAATTATCCGTTTAAAGAGATCCGTTTAAAAATATTCCAAATCTGCGCAAGATAACGTACTTTTAAATACAGAAAGATATGTTTTAAAAGCTTCTCTCACAACAAAAAGTTTAGCAACGCTTGTTTATATCCGAACCACCTAATAGATTAATTAAATCGTAATTTTCAGAAAAAAAGCATTCTCGAAGCGGTCACCGAGTGGGAAGTGGCGAATAAATATGTTCTGCTGAACGCTGTCGGGCAACAAGTACTGTACTTGATCTAGATTCGGAACTTAAAGCAATTCCTTCTTGTTTAAGATTGATAGATTCAACTGATTTAACTGATTTAATCGATTTAAATCAACTTAAATCAAATTAACCAATTTAAATCAATTTAAACCAATTTAAATCAATTTAAAACAATTTCAACCAATTTAAATCAATTTCAACCAATTTAAACCAATTTAAATCCATTTCAACCAATTTAAAATCAATTTAAATCAATTTAAAACAATTTCAACCAATTTAAATCAATTTCAACCAATTTAAACCAATTTAAACCAATTTAAACCAATTTAAACCAATTTAAACCAATTTAAACCAATTTAAACCAATTTAAACCAATTTAAACCAATTTAAACCAATTTAAACAAATTTAAATCCATTTCAACCAATTTAAACCAATTTAAACCAATTTAAACCAATTTAAATCAATTTAAAACAATTTAAACCAATTTAAACCAATTTAAATCCATTTCAACCAATTTAAACCAATTTAAACCAATTTAAACCAATTTAAATCAATTTAAAACAATTTCAACCAATTTAAACCAATTTAAATCAATTTAAACCAATTTAAAATCAATTTAAAACAATTCAACAATAAATCAATTAAAACAATTAAACCAATTAAACCAATTTAAACCAATTTAAACAAATTTAAATCCATTTCAACCAATTTAAACCAATTTAAACCAATTTAAATCCATTTCAACCAATTTAAAATCAATTTAAACCGATTTCCAGGTCTACTATGCTTTTGAAGAGTCCGGTTGTTGCACGCGGCAATTCTGCGCTCAGAATCGCGGGTTCACCATGCACATTGTCGACAATTTTCAACGAGTAATCCATTTAGTTTATTTTAAATTATCAATTTTAAGATCTTCCTCTTAATTTCAAAGCCTTGATTTGCTTAAAAAACTCTCAGGAAGTTCTCACAATCCGCCGCCCATTCAAGTGCTGTACGGCTGGTTGTTTGGCCAGCATTGACACTTGTGGTCATGAGGTTTCCATTGAGACCCCGGCTGGAGAAAAGGTAATACAATTGCTAAAGTTTTAGATTACTTGTAGTACTTGTAAGTGCCATATATGTTAGCCTTGTGCTATAGAATAAGAGTAACAAGGGAATGGCCTTGGGCACAGCTGAAAACCAGCTAAAAATCCGCCTAACGGCGGCGAATGGCTTTGTCGCCTTGGCCCAATCGGAAACGCGTTTGTCTACGGCACACTACATCCGGGTTCGACTCTCGGCTGTCTTGTGACTTTTGGTATTTAAAAAGTGAAATAAGAGATGCACAACTAAATAGAATTCTAAGCCTAATAAATGGAAAATGAGGTAAATTGGATCACGGAGAACTCGGAAGGACAGACAGACAGATAGACAGACAGACAGATAGATAGATAGATAGACAGATAGATAGACAGACAGACAGACCACAGACGATAGTAGAGACAGACAGACAGACAGACAGACAGACAGATAGATAGATAGATAGATAGATAGATGATGATAGATAGATAGATAGATAGATACAGACGACAGACAGACAGACAGACAGACAGACAGATAGACAGACAGACAGATAGATAGACAGACAGACAGATAGACAGATAGACAGATAGACAGACAGACAGACAGATGACAGATAGACAGATAGACAGACAGACAGATAGACAGACAGACAGATAGACAGACAGACAGATAGACAGACAGACAGACAGACAGACAGACAGATAGACAGACAGACAGATAGACAGACAGACAAAGATTTCTAGAAGCTACTATATCTAGTAGACTATGGATTCAGAAAGGACGCAAATTAGATAAAAATTAAACTGAAAAAAGTGTCCCAAAGAGTTAAAAGAATCTAGATTTTAAACATCTTTTTCTCCGTCTGTCTTTGATTAAAGAAAACTTTTCTTCTTTCTATTCTTTCATCTCTTTCATTGACCATTTTCAGATCGGAATGGTGAGGCAACGTTTCAGCTGCTGTGCAAACAATTTCTCCGTTTTGAATGGAGATGAAAGCAAGGAGATTTTCAAGTTTCAAAAGTTTTTGAGGGGAAAATTCATGGAATTTTTTAGAATCTCCGGCCCAAATATGTGCTCGTGGACATACAATTGCAATTGTTGTGCGGATAAAGTTTTTGAGGTGAAGAGGTGACACTGGCTTGATTTAAAGCTTTATATAAAGCCTGAAATGGGTCTTTTCAAAGGTAAACGATGAAGTTTAAAGATTTGATTCGAAAAAGTGGACTTTCTTTGTTTTCTTTGATAGGGAAAAGATTGGGGAGTAGTCAAAAACAGCGCCATAATAGAAAACTTTCAAAACAGATGGTCTTATGAGCTAGGGGCGTTCTTTTAAGGTCTTATTGTCTTGTCAAATTTCTAAAAATTCAAAAAACCAAGCCGGTTCAAATTTTATATCAAAAGATTTCTTGCTTTCTTAGCTAAATGATGGGTGAAACAGTTTTTTAAAAAAAGTTAATATTTCATAGATAAAAAGAGCACCCAGTTGGTTAACTGAATATCTTTAGAGACCCATTTTGAGTGCTCCTTTTATCTATGAAATATTAACTTTTTTTAAAAAACTGTTTCACCCATCATTTAGCCAAGAATGCAAGGAATCTTTTGATATAAAACTTGAGCCGACTTGGTTTTTTGGATTGTGAGAAATTTGACAAGACAATAAGACCTTAAAAGTACGCCCCTAGCTCATAAAACCATTTGTTTTGAATGTTTTCTATTGTGGCGCTGTTTTGACGATCCCCCAAAAGATTATGCTTTCTATTTTCAGATCATGAATCCCGAGGGTCAACCGTGTGGAGCGATTCGAAAGAAATGGGGTGGATGGGTGAAAGAGGCGTTCACACAAGCGGACACATTCTCTGTTGAATGTAAATTTTAAAAGAGATTAAAAGAGATTAGAGGCAATTCAAGCAAAAATCAAACTATCACCAGTTATTGGAGTTAAAGAAACGCTCACCCAGGCGAACACATTTTCTGTTGAATGCAAGTTTGACATGGCTAAATACGACTAAATACAGATCTATTTAGAAGATATTTTAGAAGATATTTTAGAAGAAATCGATTCTAAACACAAATCGATTCTAAATATCGATTCAGTTTTTGTCTAAATGAAGATCCTGGCGAGAAAAACGCGTTTAAAGTTTTGACGATTTCGACAATTTTGATCATTTTGACCATTTTGATCATTTTGATCAGTCGAAAAATCGCCCCTAGCCAATAAGACCGCTTGACCGATTGGCGCCATCTATTTTATTGAGTCTACCAATTGGAGCTTGGTTTTTGCAAGTGTGAAATAGAATTTGAATTAGAATAGAATCCTAATTAGAATAATTCAAAGCCCTCAAAGTAAAATGAAAATAGGCTTCTTCTAGAAAATAGGCTTTAAAACTGGTTTAAGAAAGGAAGCTAAAGGCTAGAAAAAAGCTGAAAAACTAGCTGAGAAACTAGCTGAAAAACTAGCTGAGAAACTAGCGGAAGAACTAGCTGAAAAACTAGCTGAAAAACTAGCTGAAAACTAGCTGAAAACTAGCTGAAAAACCAGCTGAAAACTAGCTGAAAACTAGCTGAGAAACTAGCTGAAAACTAGCTGAAAACTAGCTGAAAAACTAGCTGAAAAACTAGCGGAAGAACTAGCTGAAAACTTTGAAACTTAGGCTATAAAAGCTATAAAAGCTATAAAACCAAGCTATAAAAGCCAAAAAAATCAAACAGATTTTAGTTCCCGTCGATCTGGACGTGAGGTGTAAAGCGGCTTTGTTGGGAGCGACTTTTTTGATTGTAAGTTTTTCTTTTTTCGCATTATGTTTAACTTAACTTATGTTTAACTTTAGAAAATCTTAATTTTCACTTAACTATATTCAAATCTCATTTCAGGATTTCCTTCAATTCGAAAACAAACAAAACAATGTGCAGAACGCGGATTGAGCTGAGATTGAGATCGAGCAAAAACGATCGAAAAAAAAGAAAGCCATAAAATTGCCTTGTTTCTTGTGATCAAAATTAAAATCAAAAGCAAAAGCAAAATTAAAATCAAAAATCAATTTAAATATCTTATAACTAAGCAAAAGAGTCTATTAAATAATGAATTTGATGAAAAATAAATATCGAAAAGATTTTGCCGGTTAATTACGTTCAAATGTTGACAAGACGATTTAGAAGACGTTCAAACTGTACTTTGTGCTAGGAAACACAAACCTTTTCGTGCACTGAATCGTTATGAAAGCACAAGCAAACACAAAAAGCATCGTCTCAGCTTTTCTTTCAACTTTTCAAGGGTTCAAATTTTTGTTGAAAACGTGACTTTATCAATAAACAATCAATCTTTTTCAATGAATCTTTTTCAATGAATTTTTTCCTCCATTTTTATTGCTTTATTGCTTTATTTCTTTATTGTTTTATTTCTTTATAGCTTTATAGCTTTATTTCTTTATTGCTTTATAGCTTTATTGCTTTATTGCTTTATTGCTTTATTGCTTTATAGCTTTATTGCTTTATTGCTTTATAGCTTTATTTCTTTATAGCTTTATAGCTTTATTGCTTTATTTCTTTATTGCTTTATAGCTTTATTGCTTTATTGCTTTATTGCTTTATTGCTTTAATGCTTTATTGCTTTATTGCTCTTTTGCTTTTCTTTTGCTTTCTTTTGCTTTCTTTTGCTTTTCTTTTGCTTTCTTTTGCTTTTCTTTTGCTTTCTTTTGCTTTCTTTCATTTTTTTTGTTTGATTAATCCCTATCGAAAACTCTCAACTTTCTCGGCACTTCACTATTTTATTTTATTCTAAAAAAAAGCTTTGCCAAAATGCAACCATTCTGTAAAGAATATTTTCAAGAAGAATTTCGCAAAAATATTCTAAAAAATCGTTTAATCGATGAACTGCAACCGATTCTCTTTGTCGGTGAGGGGAATTTCACGTTCAGCACGGCGATCGCGGCGATGAGAAATGGATGGAATGGGATCACTGCGACAACGTTGGAGGAGGAGATTCCGAGTGTTGAAAGAGCTCAATTAGATGCGATGAGGGCAAGTGTTGAGAATGGACGATTCGAGAAAGAGATCAAGCACAATGAAGGTCGGTTTTTTAAAATTTTAATTCAATTGTGTTTTCAATTCGGCAACTTTGAACATAGTTGATGGTTGAGAAAAAAACAAAAGATATTTGTCGGCACGGGGATTCGAACCCGCGATGTTTCTAGCTAGAGACCGAAGCTTTGGCCGTAGGAGCCACTTGGCCATAGGAGGTGGCGGGTGGCTCGAAAAAGGGGTTTAAATTGAAGGGAAATCAAAAGGTTGCTCTTCAAATCCTCAAATCTTCAATCTCTTCAAATCCGTTTTCTAAAATGTAAAACATTTCGCAAGATTTATGTGAATCAGAAACAAAAGCTCACAAAAAGCTAACTTTAAAGAGCGCTTTTCAACACGATGGGTGGCCTAGTGGATAGTGGAATGGCCTATCAATCTTAAGATGAGGGTTCGATCCCGCCTGGTTTTTGAATCTTTTTTTTCTTTAATACTAATACTTTACATTGAAACTATTTATATTATAATACTTTACTTTGCATTGTAACTATTGTACCTCTAAGTATAACAGAGTAAAAGGTTTTAACCCATTCGAAACTTCTGCAGCGAATAATCGCTGCAGCAAAAACTCAGGAACGAACCGCTGCAGCGATTATTCGCTGCAGCGCTAATTGAGCTATTTTCATTCAATTAATTGGTTTTTTTTTTGCTGTTTTTCAGCATTGCATGTATATTCCAATTGTAGCAGATCTACAAATTACGTGGGCAAAGAAGATGTTTTATATTTACCCGGAATCAATGCAGTCTCTGGTTTTGCATTGAAATGTTCCATAATAGCTCTAATCTTATAAAGCCGATCTCCCGCAGGATCCAGTTCATTATCACAAAAACGCAGGTTTCGAAGAATAGATTCAAATTTTGCTCTTGACATAATGTGGGACATGTGGGAAAATCCTCCTAATCCAGACCTGCTACTCCAGTAGTCACGATACAGAGCCAGGAAGAGCTTGCATCGAAATCCTGCCAGTTTTTTTTCCTTTTTCCATGTTTATTAGATTCGCCTACTAACATGCTGATTAATTTGTCGTCGATAAAATAAGAATAATATAGGATTTTGAAAAGTACTGAAGTCAAATCCAAATCGTTCTTCATCAAAAATAAATGGTGTAGGAGACTCTCTTGCATCTTTCCAACCATAAATAAACTGCTTCGGAGTCAAAAATGTCAAAAAAGGGCTTGGTCCGTAGACGAAAAAAAAGAAAAAACGCTGCGGTTTCGAATGGGTTAAAGGTGATAAAATGCGATCACAAAGCATTCAAAGCAATTGAAAACGTTAAAGTACTAGATTTCGCAAGATTTATGTGAATCAGAAACGAAAGCTCACAAAAAGCTAACTTTAAAGAGCATGGGTGGCCTAGTGGATAGTGGAATGGCCTATCAGTCGTAAGATGAGGGTTCGATCCCGCTCTTGGTTTCGTATCTTTTTTTCTTGAATACTAATACTTTACCTTGAAACTATTCTATCTCTAAGTATAACAAAGCTTTACATTCTAACTATTGTATCACTAAGCTGTTAACAAAGCTGTTAACAAAGCTGTTAACAAATCTATAAGCTGTTAACAAAGCTGTTACCAAAGCTATAAGCTGTTAACAAAGCTGTTACCAAAGCTATAAGCTGTTAACAAAGCTGTTACCAAAGCTATAAGCTGTTAACAAAGCTGTTACCAAAGCTATAAGCTGTTAACAAAGCTGTTACCAAAGCTATAAGCTGTTAACAAAGCTGTTACCAAAGCTATAAGCTGTTAACAAAGCTGTTACCAAAGCTATAAGCTGTTAACAAAGCTGTTACCAAAGCTATAAGCTGTTAACAAATCTATAAGCTGTTAACAAAGCTGTTACCAAAGCTATAAGCTGTTAAAAAAGCTGTTAACATCAATAAAACACAATCACAAAGCATTCAAAGCAATTCAAACCGTTAAAGTGCTAGATTTCGCAAGATTTATTTGAATCAGAAACGAAAGCTCACAAAAATTTCGTGCTTTACCTTAGTTAGAAAAGAGAGAACACACTCTAGTTCTAAGTGTACCGAAAATTTGCCCAAAATTTCCGATTTCAATTTCAGAACCATTCGATGAAGCGATTTTTCGTCGACTCAATGCCATTCTAAATCTCTCTTCATCCCCAAGACGTCTCACTCAAATCGATGCGACAAAAAGTGATCCATTCCAATTCAATCTCTCACTTGAAAATATTTGGTTTCAATGTCCATGGAGTAATGAGGTGATCATTAGTCCAGAAAAAGCCGATCGTGATAAAACAGTGGGGAATTTGTTGCGAGATTTCATCAATCACTTTTCAAAGTATCAAAATGTCGGCAATTTTTTGGTCATTGGAATCACGATGCTTTCGATGTACAATAAATGCTATCGGCTTGATGATTTGCTGAAGAAAGTCGAGAATGATTTCATCGTTGAGTGCACTGATGGCGGCTTTTATCAGTACATTGGATTCGATGATGCGCTCATTGAAGAGGCTCTTCTTTATGGTTATCGTCATAAAGCATTGCCTGGATTCGACATTCATTTTGAGCTTTATAAATTTCATCGAAGTTTAATCTTTAAGAAATTCGATAAACGTTAAAAAAAGAGAAATTTTCATTGAAAAAGAGAAACTTTCGATTTTATTCGTTATCTCAGAAATTTTTAATGAATATTCACACTCTAAAGATTCATAACGTTGTCTAGAAGTAATATTCTGCTTAATTATTTAAATTGCTTTATAAAGGGATGAGCTATTTGAATGATAAAGTATGATAAAGCCGGATAAAGCATGATAAAGCTGTATGAAAAGCGTGAAGAAAGTTTGTAGAGGATTTCTGCTTGAATTGAGGGCTTCAGTTGATAAATCCAATCAAATAAACCCCGCCAATCGATTCACTGACCTCGAAAACCCTTGGGCTGAAATTTACAGCTAAATATCTTCATTTGGGGCCAGCTACAAGCCAAAAGAGAAATCCTTGAGGTGTTCTTTGTTCAGGTGCGTAATCGTTCGCGATCTAGTAAACCTATTCGGTGTATAAGGCTTCTCTTTTGAACGCGGAACAGAAATTTCTGTTTTTTGAGGGTTTTGGTTGGTTAAAGAAGAGTAAAAGTGATGTTATTACCTTGTTTTTCTGGATTATGTCTATTTGTCTTTGTTGTCTTGTTATTCTAGAGTCTCTCGATTTCTAGATGGTGAATTCAGCTTTATTTTCTACTATTCGAAAGCTTGAAATATCCTTTATAAGCTACGTAATGGTTATCAATAATATAATCTCTAGATAAAGCTATGGGTCGCATCCGTTTCCTTCCTTTTTGCGTTCTTATTTTGCAATTATTCGCGTCGCATTTATCAATTGGAGCCCTCAATTCAAGCAGAAATTCTCTACAAGCTCTCTACAATCTTTCTTCAGGCTTTTCATTGAGCTTTATCATGCTTCATCATATTGGATTGGTGAATTGAAAACTGCCGGCTATTGTCATATGTGACAGTTTGAGCACTTTCTTCAAAAGAAACCCATTTTGGTGTCAATGGAAAAGTTGTAGAGAATCAAAAATTAAGCTTATATCCACATTTCCAAAAAGATACACTTAGTAGTTTCGCTTAAAATTTGTGTGTTCTATGTGTTCTTTGTGCGGCGGCGTAATTGCTCGTCGTCTAGCGCAGGGCCTTTACATAACCCCCTTCCCTCTGCCTTTCCAAACAAATATGGCCGGCTTCGAATCCTCAAATTGGACATTGACTTCTCCTCAAATCAAGGCTAATCTCAATCTATTGGATGCGAAAACTACTGGAGACGCAAAAGTGGAGGACTGGAGATATCCTAGTGTCCGAGTTTGAGCTCCAGATGTCCCAGTCTTCAAAAGAAACCCATTTTGGTGTCAATGGAAAAGTTGTAGAGAATCAAAAATTAAGCTTATATCCAAATTTTCAGAACGATTCAAAAACTGGTTTTCAAGAAATGCCAAATTTACGAAACTTTCACAAAACTTGCATTTTAAGCGAAACTACTAAGTGTATCTTTTTGGAAATTTGGCTATAAGCCTAATTTTTGATTCTCTACAACTTTTCTATTGACACCAAAATGGGTTTCTTTTGAAGAAAGTGCCCAACTGGGCTGACAGCTGACATCTCCAGTCCTCCATTTTTGAGTCTCACACTTGTCTCACATACTTGTACTCTTGGAGCTGCTGGATAGCAAGACGACCGTTAATGCAATCAAATACAGTGAACAGTTGGGAAAGGTGAATGAATCCCTGAAGGAGAATAGGCCCTCCAAGTCAAAGATCGTTCTCCTCCACGACAACGCACGCCCTCATGTTGCAAAACTGACTCGCTCTAAAATAAATAGCCTTGTTTGGGAACTTTTGGCACATTCCCCATACAGTCCGGACCTTTTGATTACTATTTATTCCGGATCATGAGCTTGCGGGAGAACACTTCGATTCGGAAGAAGCAGTCAAGGTTTGGCTTTGAAAGTTTTTCGATTTAAAACCAAAACCCTACTACGAAAGAGGAAGCCGCAAATTACCTGTAAAATAAGCAGAAGTCGTCAATAATAATGGAATGTATTTGGAAGGAATTTATGGTTTGGTCTTGAATAAATTTTAGTTCAAAGTCCCGCAGTTTTCAATTCATCAACCCAATAGAAAAGCTAGATAAATCTTCTAAAAACTATATAATTCGATTACTATTAAACATTCTTTTAAACATTTTTTTTCGTTTTCTCTCACTTGAATGATGAATGCATCGTTGATTGATCGTTTTTCAATCTTTTTATGAAAATTAAAAAATAACAAATCTTTTCGAGAACCCGGAAATAGATCTTTATCTATTTTTCATATAAAAAAGTGATTTCTGATGATTTAGCAAGTTTTGTCAGAGCTAAAGAAAAGGAAAACTTCTTTTTTCTTTCATTTTCAATGAGTCATCAATGAAAACTAAAAGATTGATTACACTTTTTGAGTATAAAAATAGTAAAAATAATAAAATAATGAAGTTATAGGGTTATTTGTATTTCTTTCTACTTATTTCAAAGCTTTAATTCATTCAGGTTTGTGTTTGGCTTAAGAAAAATGCGTAAACGAATCGTAAACTAGTGAATTTCGTTGTAATTTTATTTAAACTTTGACTTAAAAAGCTGAAAATTAAAAGGGAATTGATGTAGTTTCTATTTTTGATTTTATTTTTACTTTTTGCTATTCCATTCTTTACTAATATTTACATCATTTCATCATTTCTCTTTATTTAATTAGTTTTTAATCATATTGGGTTGATGCATAATTATCCGGACTTCTTTTTGCGTGCTTGTATCTTTTTTGTTTTGAAAGCTTTTTGTCTATTTCTTTTTTTTAAATATTCGTTATTCTTTAGTGAACAAAATGCGTGTCGACAATCATATCCATCTTCGCCATATCATGCTCTACCACTTCGAAAAGGGATGGTCTGCCGCAGAGTCGTTTCGCGATCTCAAAGAACTTTTTGGTCAAGGAACAATTGGACGTGCAACAGTTTATGAATGGTTCGATCGTTTCAAGTCCGGTAACACAAGTGTTGATGATGAACCAGGAAGAGGACGGCCATCAGAATTCGATGACAAGGCACTTCTGGAAGCCGTTGAAGAAGACGAAAGCCTGACAACCAGAATGCTGGCAGATGAATTCAATGTTGACCAGTCAACGATCGTGCGCCATCTCAAAAAGCTTGGCAAAGTATGGAAATTGGCTGGATGGGTCCCACACGAACTCGTTTCGTTTCGCGATCTCAAAGAACTGGAGAAGCCCCAACGGACTACCACGTCAATCGATCGCTCAAAAATTGGCAAACAAATAAGATCTACAACGATTTGGATGACTTGATAGACGATGTTAAAGCGTGGATTGCCTCCAAAGATCGTTTATTCTTCGCTCGTGGAATCGATCGTCTTCCAATCAAATGGCAATCAGTTATTGATGTAGGCGGTGAATATGCTCCAGAATAATCAATTAAACATATTTTTCTAACTATTTATGTTATTTTTTGTTAAATAAAATCATTTATAAAAGAAGTCCGGATAATTATGCATCAACCCAATATTTATCAATGGGGCTTTATAAAGGGATGAGCTTTTTGCATAATAAAGTATGATAAAGTATGATAAAGCAGGATAAAGCATGATAAAGTATGATAAAGTAAGATAAAGCAGGATAAAGCTCAATGAAAAGCTTGAAGAAAGATTGTAGAGAATTTCTGCTTGAATTGAGGGCTTCAATTGATAAATTCAATCAAATAAACCCAGCCAATCGATTCACCGACCTCGAAAACCCTTGGCCTGAAATTTATAGCTAAATACCTTCATTTGAGGCCAGCTACAAAGGAAAAGAGACATCCTTGAGGTGTTCTTTGTTCAGCTGCGTAATCGTTCGCGATCTAGTAAACCTATTCGGTGTATAAGGCCTCTCTTTTGAACGTGGAACAGAAATTTCTGTTTTTTGAGGGTTTTGGTTGGTTAAACAAGAGTAAAAGTGATGTTATTACCTTGTTTTTCTGGATTATGTCTATTTGTCTTTGTTGTCTTGTTATTCTCTTCTCTCGATTTCTAGATGATGAATTCAGCTCTATTTTCTACTATTTGAAAGCCTAAAGTATCATTCGCGATCTAGTAAACCTATTCTGTATATAAGGCTTCTCTTTTGAATGGGAACACAAATTTCTGTTATTTCACAAAACTATGAAAACTAAAAGCTCTAAACTAACTCAAAACTTTGATTTACAATGAGCTGATCGCTCGTAAATGAGTTGAAGGCGGCACAGTAAAGTCAGTAAAGTCAGTAAAGTTTGAGCCAGTTAATACAGTACCCTTTGACTTACTCAGAGGTCAAGAGGAGTCTTCAATCATAGAGCTATTGATGGAGTTCTATGATTATGAAGAGTAGTCCAACTCCGATTCTCTACTCCCCCCTAGACAAATGTCTAGGGGGGTAGGCACTTATCTCACTTTGACCCTAATTTTCTCCATAATTTTGTTGGTAAGTCTATAAAACAAATTATATACTTCTTTAATCAAATTTGACGTAGATTCTGATGAAAGTAAGCATAAGTCGATTCCGCTTTCACATTTTGAGTTATAGCCATTGATGACTCATCCGACTCACTAAGGACGGCCTAATGACGGCCTAATGACGCGTATGACTCACCGGGCCGTGTTAATGACAATCATTTTTCGTTTCCATTCAATTCGTTTCCATTTTTAAGGAGTTTTGTTATTGGATTTCTCAAAAAGTCCTTGTTAATTTTATACTATTTTTCAAGAGGAGATTTAAAGCTATCAAATGACTTCAATAGCTTTGTTTATCTTTGAATTTAGCCTTATTTAGTAAAACGATTAACGACTACGCTACTGTACACCAAAAATACTGTCTTTTTTAATAGATATTACCATTTAAAGCATTCAAAATATTATTTAAAGTAATTTTTAAATAATTTTCAAACTTTCTTTAAAGCCACAATATTTCCGGGGGTCATTGGCTAATATATATATATGCTTTATTCAGGAGGGCGAATAGAAGCGAATCAGATAATCATAACCGCATATAATTGCTACAATACTTTCACAAAAA